CACAGGTTGCGCGTGAGTTTCAAATTAGGGGAAGATAAAAAGAAATCACACAAAGAAATTGCCTTTCTTTATAATAAAGTATTGCATGCATCTATCTATTTGCAGACTAATGTAAGATAGCCTTCTATTCCTAATGTGATGAGTAAATTGGATTGTCTTAAATTAGGCTAATAATATAACTGATTCACTGTTCGCAAAAAATACCCTTCTGCTTTTCTTTTCCTTTCTTTGCAAACATCCAGAGCTCAACCCCAGCTAGATGGACATTTTTATGAGGGATCCGAAAAAATCTGAGAAAAAATGTGGCCATTTATAAACATATTTCATGCAATTCTACAACACTTTAGTCCTCCATAGCTGGAGACAATAGCAGAATCTTTAATGCCACAAAAATGACAGGGTAGGCTACTCTGACAAACTGAGATGAATAAAAACGACCTTGAACGAAACCATCGTTGGCTGGCCCTCACTACATATTCGTCGCCAAACCCACTGGCTCCAGGTCATCTATAAATCCCTTCTAGGCAAATCCCCGCCTTATTTTAGCTCATTGGTCACCATAGCAACACCCACCTGTAGTATGCGTTCCAGCAGGTATATCTCACTGGTCACCCCCAAAGTCAACACCTCCTTTGGTCGCCATTCCTTCCAGTTCTCTGCTGCAAATGACTGGAACGAACTGCAAAAATCTCTGAAGCTGGAAGACACTTATCTTCCTCACTATCTTTAAGCATCAGTTGTCAGAGCAGCTGTATTTTTGTATACAAAGGAGTAATTATATAATTTTAGCAAGTTCCATTACATTTACTTCCTATTGGATGCGCCGCCTATGGACACCCCACATAACCTATGCTAACAAAAAAGCAGACACTGTCAATCAACATTGTGCAGATAGATAAGGGTCTTATGTAAACTCAGGCAAACCATTAGCAACTGTTACATCACAACTACAGAATGCTTATTCATCGGTACCGTATAAAAGTAGTTCAAAGCTAGTCCAGGGAAAAAGCATCAAAATCCTTTTATCTGTTTTTAGAAGTTAGCGTCTTTACATTTGTGGAAGACTCGTGAAACTGTTTTTGGTAAACACATTACTCTATTATGCTACTGTATTGCAAGTGTTGTTGCATCTATTATAAAGTAAATATAGATATTTTCACGATGGTTTAGTAACTTATGTGATGTTCAGTGTATTGATGAGAAACTGCACATTGCCTGAAGAGCTACGATCTGAACCTTCAGCTAACTTTGTGTTTTCATGTCTCCCACAGTGGAGAACTGCACCTACTTCAAACACTTCACTCCAGGGGACGAGTCTGAGATTTTTGAAGTCAAAACCCAGAAAGGTAAGGTTTATTTTGTGCCTCCTCCATACAAGAGTTAGTCATGGCCTAACAAACACACCATGATTCTGTTTGGTAACTTTCATTTACACTGAGTGTACAAAACAGTAGGAACACCTTCCTAATATTGTGTTGCACCCCCTTTCGCCCTCAAAACAGCCTCAATTCGTTGGGGCATGGACTCTACTAGGTATCGAAAGCGTTTCACAGGGATGCTGGCCCATGGTGACGCCAATGCTTCCCACAGTTGTGTCAAGTTGGCTGGATGTCCTTTGGGTGATGGACCATTCTTGATACACACGGGAAACTGTTGAGTGTGAAAAACCCAGCAGCATTGCAGTTCTTGACACATTCAAATCAGTGCACCTGGCACCTACTACCATACCCCGTTCTAATGGCACACATGCACAATCTATGTCTCACTTGTCTCAAGGCTTAAAAATCCTTCTTTAACCTGTCTCCTCCCCTTCATCTGCATTCTCCATAGACAAACATTGGCAGTAGAATGGTCGTACTAAAGAGCTCAGTGACTTTCAACGTGGCACCGTCATAGATTGCCACCTTTCCAACAAGTCAGTTCGTCAAAGTGGAAATGTCTAGGAACAACAACGGCTCAGCCTCGAAGTGGTAGGCTACACAAGCTCACAGAACGGGACCGCCGAGTGCTGAAGCGCGTAGCGCGTAAAAATCGTCTCTCCTCGGTTTGAACACTCACTACCGAGGTCCAAACTGCCTCTGGAAGCAACGTCAACACAAGAACTGTTCGTCGGGAGCTTCATGAAATTGGTTTCCATGGCCGAGCAGCCACACACAAGCCTAAGATCACCATGCGCAATGCCAAGCGTCAGCTGGAGTGGTGTAAAGCTCGCCGCCATTGGACTCTGGAGCAGTGGAAACGCGTTCTCTGGAGTGATTAATCACGCTTCACCACTTAGCAGTCCGACGGACGAATCTGGGTTTGGCGGATGCCAGGAGAACACTACCTACCCCAATGCATAGTGCCAACTGTAAAGTTTGGTGGAGGAGGAATAATGGTCTGGGGCTGTTTTTCATGGTTCGGCTAGGCCCCTTGCTACAGCATGACAATGACATTCTAGACGATTCTGTGCTTCCAACTTTGTGGCAACAGTTTACAGAAGGCCCTTTCCTATTTCAGCATGACAATACCCCCTGTGCACAAAGCAAGGTCCATACAGAACCCCATCGAACACCTTTGGGATGAATTGGAACGCCGACTGCGAACCAGGCCTAATCGCCCAACATCAGTGCCCGACCTCACTAATGCTCTTGTGGCTGAATGGAAGCAAGTCCCCACAGTAATGTTCCAACATCTATTGGAAAGCCTTCCCAGAAGAGTGGATGCTGTTCCAGCAGCAAAGTGGGGACCAACTCCATATTAATGCCCATGATTTTGGAATGTGATGAGCAGGTGTCCACATACTTTTGGTCATGTAGTGTATCTTCAAGAACAGAATAAGTGTATTCTTTGATGTCCTTCTGACATAATGTTTCATAAGAGAAGATTCAAAGGGAAGAGTTATAAAAAGAAATAGGTAACTCGGGATATGAAACATGGGTGGTGAATAATACAAATGAAAGTGGATACATCTCAACTCAAACAGTCCATGGTAGGCACAAGGCAGGGCTGCCCTTTGTCTCCTTCTAAGTTTCATGGACAAATGCTAACAAAAACAAACGCACAAAGAACCAGACATACCCCTTCATTCTAAGCTTTGCACACATAACCAATGGTGCTTTGGACATTCTTAGAATTTGTCCATCAGCCTTGAATTAATTTCAACACAAGCAGAAACATTTAAGTATATAGAGTTTTCCCAGGATATTAAGGGTTGGGGCCAAGTCAACTGAGTAGATATAAGCTCTGGCAGGTAGCGTCAATGGAACTCCATGTGACAGAGCTAATCCCTGTCATCGCCCATTCCGTTCTCTTCTGGATATTTTCCTTCTCCCATCTCCCCACTAGCCCCCTTGGTGACCCTGCCTGTACTGTGCACAAGCTTGGCCCATTAGACACATGTACACTCACATATGACAGGGCTTCCATGTGATGCACATAAGGGCGCCAAGCACAGGCAGGGCCTTGTCAGACCCAGAGTGTAAATCAGAATAGATTTACACACATCCACACACACACACACACACACACACACACACACATATCTATGTCTTTCTAAACTTGTGAGGACTTTTTGGAGACGAACAATTGATTCCCATTCAAAATCATTTTTTCCCTAACCCCTAAACTAACCTTAAACGTAACCTCAACCCTAACCCTTAACCCTAAACATAACCCCAACTCCTAACCCCATAATTCTAACCCTAAGCCTAAAATAGCCTTTTTACAAGTGAGGACCGGCAAAATGTCCTCACTTCTCTGACTTTTAGTTGGTTTACTATTCTTGTGAGGACTTGGTACTTTAGTATAGTAAAACATGTACACACACACACACTTTAAACCCCCTATGCTCCTTTGAAACCCCTCTTTCAAAGTCACTGAGATTGTTGTGGAAAATAATCACTATACTATTACAAATCAGTCCTTCCAGAGTGTTTGTGGGATTAAGAATGACTTTATTATAATGTCAACAAAGCCAATCTGCAGATTCGCCCCCCTCTCTCCCTCCCTCCTACCTATAAAGTCTCCTTCCTCCCACCCTAGGTTCAAATCCCTCCCTCTTCAGTTTCCCGCTCTTTATTACTCCGCCCACTTCCTTTGTCTCTGAGGACGGCTAAATTCGACTTTCATTAAGTTCAGAATCACGTAGTACTACAATCAATCAATCCTTATCTTGCAAAAACACTCATGTTTAGTTTAAACTCTGTTCAACCCCGGCTCTTTTCACTGTGTTGAAGATAGAATCAAAAGGTCCAAGCTAGTTTCAGTCTTTGATATGTAAAGACAACCATGGATCTAAGTAAGAGCAAGCAATTTGACCCTGGGTCAGCTTCCCTCTTTACCCCCACACACACAGTGAAATGACCCAATTAAATTCCTGGCCCAGTAACAAATAACTCTATGTTCGTGATTAACCCAGTTTTATCTGATAATCCATTACAAATACACATCAAGATCTCTTCTTATAGCCATGGTAGCCAAAATAATTGGCAACTGGACATTTTTATACATGACCCCTAAGCATGGTGGGATGTTTTAATTGCTTAATTAACTCAGGAACCACACCTGTGTGGAAGCACCTGCTTTCAATACACTTTATATTTACATTTACATTTTAGTCATTTAGCAGACGCTCTTATCCAGAGCGACTTACAGGAGCAATATCATTCATTTACACAAGTGTTTTCTTTATTTGGCAGTACCGTT